TCATCCTCCTCTTTGGAACCCAATGGCGACGTGGAAAAATTGCCCCCAGTAAGAGACAGGTCCGGGGTCGAACGGCTGAAGATGCCATGCGCCAGGTGGGCCAGGCCTTTTCCTCATTGGGACTGCTTGATCCGAGGATGAACCAATATGCACCAGGCACAATGGACTTTCGTTTGACACGGCTGCTGAAAAGTTGGAAGAATGAGGATCCAGCAACACAACAAGTACGCCCATTGCCAAAGTCCTTGTTAAGGCAAGCATCAAAGCTCGCCAAAAAACCCACAAGTACACATGCCGCAAAGGCAATGAATCGATTGATGTGGTTGGGGTTTTTCTTTTTGTTACGCCCGGGCAAATTTCTGTCAAAAGCGGGAACGCAATTTCCTTTCAAGTTGAAGCAAGTGTTTTTTCGTATCAACGACGCAGAATTTCGTGGCGACGTCATTCCCCTTTGCCTCCTGGACACGTCACTTGTGACATTCGCCAGTCTGATATTTGACAACAAAAAAATGCGGTGCCAGACGAAAAGATCGGTTTGGGCACGTCATTAAATGGTGACAACCCAACAGCTACGCTGATTGACATTGTCCGACACCTTCGACAGAGTCAACACACGACTGGCGACACCCCCCTGTTCACCTACTACTCCAAGTTTGGAGTCCCTTGCAATGTCACAGATTGAATGATGACAAAATATTTGAGAGTAGTTGCTCTCTCCGTGGAGGTCGATCGACCTCCCATAATCGGTGCTCTTCGATGCACCGGGGCTACCGCGCTTCTGGAAGGCAATATCCTGACTAGTCTCATCAAACTACTTGGTCGGTGGCGCTCCGATGAAGTGTTTCGGTATCTTCACACCCAGTCCGAGCCTTTGATGCAACGCTTGACCGATGTTCTTATTGATCACGTCGGGCACTAGCGTTTTTTCCCACCCACCACACCCTGGACGGCAACAAGATGGCCGAATGGAGGAAACCAAGTGGAGTCTGCGAAATCCAAAGCGATTGAGAAGGATGAGCAATCGCTGTACCAAGAGTGTACCATACGACCAAGAGTAAATACGACGTATGAAGGACAAACATGGTTAAAGGTACTCAACTAATTATTTTATTTTCAGCTTTTCCAGTAATAGACTTCTCCCTCAATGGACGCCTTCGTCTTGCCATGCCATTAGCGCTTGTATAGGCTTCACCACCACTGCCATGTAGATTGGTAGCAAACTTTTGAAAGCCGTCACTATTCCACCTCCCGCGAATAGCATTCGGTGGTGCTGATGGGACTTCGAGTTTCAGATTTCGCCAGAGATTACTGCACAACTCCTGATATGCTTCAATGATGTTTCACATGAAACAAATCCAGTAAAGGAAGTACTGTCCACAGACTCAAACAACTAGATACCCTAAAGTTCTAAACATCTGAGTCGGAATCAGATAGTTCAGAGACCAGAGCTTCGAAGTTGGGATCTTCCCTTGTCGAAGATTCCTTGGATTTTGATGCATCTGGGGAATAATTATCCCGTGTCGCTATCATGGCAGCACCTTCTCCGTTGCCTTTCAGGACATCTAGAAGTATTGCTAGTATTCCATCAAGAAAGATGTCGCCAGTGCGGAGCACAATAGTGACAACTTTAGAAACTTCATTTTGCCACCGAGCCCGATTCTGTATTGCCATTTTCACCCACGGTATATCCTCAATAATCCTCGAATTCAAATGGAACGCGACTATTTTTCTGTATGCCTCAATTTTCTCGTGGTCCGTCAGGCTGCTTCGGAAACTTGGACGCTCCCACCAAGCTCGAAGACCATGGTAGCTTAGATCTAGACCATTTTTCAAGTAAGTATAGACATCGTGACCAGTCAGAAGCTCGGCACGTTTCAAACTTGATCGGATACCATCAATGGCTTCTGGGTGTTCCTTGAATTCTCGTCGAAAGCGATCCCAACCTTCTTCACTAACCATTGCTAGAAAGAGAGCCAAGAATTCCTTTGCTTTCATTTTGTTAGAGTCTGCGAGGACCATTAAACGTGAGCCATCAAGAACACCAACGTCTCGCAATCTCTCCCCAACATTCAGAACTCTCCCTTTGTGGATGACACGAAAATCGCATGCTTTCATGTTGCTGCGGGTATCTCGTTGAAGACGCTGAAGCAACTCTTCAACCGTCGAAACGCCATTTACAGTATAGAGTTGACCGCGGCAAGAGATCTGCAAGTTCTTCAGTGGTTTCGTTGCACCAACGAAATGAAGAAACAACGAAATGAAGAGAGCCACGAAAAACCTTCCTTTTAATTCCATTTGTTTTGTTTCAAGAGAGTGAGTGAATGGGTACCAAAATGATTGAAATTCACTAGTAATTTCCCCCTTTTTTGACCTCAAGCAACCTTCACTATTTTTAGCTGTGTTACATCGTGTATGATATTTGGATCTTCTGTGGCCAAATTTGGCGAGGAGTACATAGAGGTTGAAATATTGGTCGGAGTAGTCAAATGCATGTAGAATTTGTACTTACTGGCTGCACCCATAGGGCAATTTGCGGCCAAGATGTAAGGCAATATTGTACGGAGAAGATGGGGAGGACCAACCCAATGCGTCCTCTCCTATGGACACCGGTAGTGGGGGTATCAGTACCCCCACGACGGGTCCATGATGGACAAAAGATTGCCTGCCGCTTGGTTGCGGCGTAACAGGCATAGATCGTATATCAACAGCAACTGGTCAAGAGCGGCTCCACACACCTCTCTTGATTCCCTTTTTAAGTTCCTTCCTTCCAGGAGATGGTTTTGGTGACAACCATCTCATTCGTGCACAGGGTTCCGTCCGACTCGCCTTCCAGAATATTAACACTATTCCCGACGAGTCGGACGACCTTAAACAAGCACAACTGAACCACTGGATTTGAAGCGAATGTGTGGATTTTTTACTACTGGCTGAATTGAACAAATTTTGGTCAGCTATTACACCAACCAACCGATGGCGTGAAGGAGCCAGCACCATGGCTCGGAAGAGCGAAGGTTTCCACTCGACGGTGGCCTACAACACCCATCAACCACAGGCGGCAAATTCTACCACACAATTTGGGGGCTGTTCGACTTCTGCCTTCAACGATGTATCTCACCGAGTCAGGTCCAGTGGCGCCGATAGCTTGGGGCAATGGGCTTGGATTCGGCTTCAGGGCCGAACACAAGGCGTTGGCCAGCGAGACTTGGTGGTCATCTCTGCCTACCGACCAAACCCACCAAACGACGGGCAACAAACGGTGTGGTTCCAACATGAGGCCCACTTCAGCCGCACCAACCGCGATACAGAACCCAGGGAAGCTTTCATCAAGGACCTCTTGACGGCAATCAACAAATGGCGCGACGATGGCTGTTCCATCATCTTGGGCATCGATGCCAACGATGACTTGTCCTCCTACTCCCCGAAGTCTTTCCGTTTTTGGATGAGCGAAGTAGGACTGATCGAGGCGATCCAGTCCAAACACCCAGGGTCCCATCAGGCCACTTACCAGCGGAACCTCCGTGGGTATCCGATTGACTGCATCTTTGCAACGCCTGACGTGCCCATCCTGGCCGCCGGTTATTACCCATTTGACGAACATGTTGCCTCTTGTTAGAATAAAGCAAAATGTGCTCTATCGTGAGTGCCTTTAGCGCTCAGAACAAACTCTCTGCAATCTAAATTTGTAATCGACTGTACAACACTTTCACAACAATAGTTCTCCTGTGTCTAGGT